AGCCCAGCATAGTCAATTTAGTAATTTAATAAGATCCTGTCTTAAAAATGGGTGGTATGAGTGAGGCGGGTGGGGATGTAGCTCAGTACTAAAGCCTGGGTTCAATCCCCAGTATAGTACACACACAAAAGGCATAGTATTTGCATCTAATGTATATGTACTTTAATTACCTCTACTTGTAGTACTTAGTATTATACAGTTGTACAGTGTTGTTTAATGATTAAAAAGTCTGCATATACAAGATGCAATTTTCTTTTTTTACAGTTTGATGCAATTTTTGGCATGCCTGTAATCCCAGCACTCAGGAGACTAAGGCAGAAGGATCACTGCAAGTTCAAGGCCAGCCTAACTATGTAGCAAGCCCCTGTCCCAAAATAAAAAAGTATGGAGCTGGAGAGATAGCTTGGCGGTCTAAGTACCTATCCAGCAAGTGCAGGGTCCTAAATTCAATCCCAGCCCAGGAACCCTGGGCACCAGCTCTGGAACCAGCATGGCTGTAGTTCCAGTACTGGGGAGGCTGAGACAGGATGATCACTATGAGTCTGAGCTGCATAGGGAGACCCTGTATCTAAAAAAATAAAAGAGTAGTAGGGCTGGAGATATTGCTCATATAATACCTGCCTGGCAAGCACAAGATCCTGAATTAGATTCCTGGTATAAAAATTTATAAAAAGTATTTCAATCCTTATTTGATTGAGTTTGCCAGTTATTAACCCATTTAATTTTTATAATGACCCTACAAAATGGGAACATTTAATCATCATCATTTCATAGATAAGGAATTTTGATATTGAGAGGTTAAATAACTTGCCTGAGGTCATATAGCTAGTATCTTCTCCACCTCCCATAAAGGCTTACAGGGGGCAGACCAGATAGCTCAGCAGACTAAAGTGCCCAGGATCCTGGCATGCTGAGCCGGCCCCGCCCTGGATCCCTGGCACGGCCCTGCCCCTGGGGTGCACTGAGACCCTGACTGAGACGTGGGTGTGGTGGTGCATGCCTGTAATCCCAGTGCTCGGGAGGCTGAAAACAGAAGAATCACTACAAGTCCCATCTATATAGTGAGACCCTGTAGACCCTATACTCAATTAAAAAAAAAAAAAAAAAAGCTTACAGGGAAGTGACTAAAGATGGAACAGTTAAACTCAAGAAAACTGGATCCAAATCCCAGCTGAGTTAGTAACGTGACCAGGGACCAGGGAATAAGGATGTAGCTCCATAGTAGAGCATGTGTTTAGCATGAACGAGGCCCTGGGTTTGAGCCTTAGTACTGCCTAACAAAACAAAGCACCTAGGAACAAATCATCCCACCATTGCATTCCCTCAATCTGGAATGAGGTTATAGTATTTGATTTCTCTAAACCTGTTTTGAGACTGTAGTTATTTTAATTGTTGTAGTTATACAGATAGAATGCTCAGCACTGTATTTTGCACGTAAGTATTTCACAAATGGCAGCTGCAAAGACCTTGTGATGATGATTCTGGGTGATTGCTAAGGGCCAGTGGCTTTGTGGCTCTAAGGACTCCCAATAGACCTTGTCTAAGTATGGTTGCTGTCAGCACCCCGCTACATGTCTGCAGGTACCAAGCATGTAAGATATGATCATGCAAGTGAGTAGACAGAAATGGTGACTAGAATTGGACCCTGACTTTGCTCACCTGTTCAGGGCTACTACCTCCTGGAAGAAGGGGCCTTTCTTCTTATTTTCACACAGATATCAAGTGGGCTAGTTGCACCCCAGGAGATGCTATAGACATGCCCTTCCTATGGTGTAATGAGGTCAATAAGAACACAGGGTTGGGGCCAGGGAGATGGCTCAGTAGAATAAGTGCTTTCCTGGCAAGCACAAGGGCCTGAGTTCAATCCCTGGTTCCGCCAAAAACAACAACAACAACACAGGGTTCTGCTGGAGTTGGTGGTGCATGCCTATAATCCCAGCACTGGGAAGGCTGAGGCAGTAAGATCACCATGAGCTTGAGGCCAGCCTGAGCTACGTAAAGGAATTCACAGCCAGTCTGCTCTATATAGCAAGACTCTCCCTGAAAAACAAACAATAAAACACAGGCTTCTGAACCAAACTTCCTGGGTCAGATTTCAGTCCCGTGTATGTTTGGGAGAACTATCTAGCATCTCTGAACTTTATTTATTTATTTTTGTATTTACTACATGGTCTACAGGGTGTCACTACATGGATCGGACTCATAGTGATCCTCCTGTTTTCAGCCTCCCAAGTGCTGGGATCACAGGGGCATGGTAACATGCCCAGTCTTAGCCCAGGTCTTGTAATCCATTGAGCTATATGGCCGACCCTCACCTTTGAACTTTAGGCATCTTAAAATGAGGAAGTTAGCCTGGTGTGGTAGTTTATGGCTATAATTCTAGCACTCTGGAAGGCTAAAGCAGGCCGATCCCAAGTTTGAGCCTAGACCGGGCAATTTAGCAAAATTCTGTCCTAAAATTAAAAATTATAAAAGGGTTTAGGACATATCTCAGTGAGAAAGCCCTGGATTCAATCTCCAGTAACTCATACCAACATACACACGCATACAAAGAAGCTATCTTCTATCTTTCAGGGAGTGTTACAAATAATGCAAATGAAGTGCTAATTCTTGGGGTCCCAGTGGGCTAAGGAGCTATTGGAACATACCCTAAAGATGGGTTAACCACTTACCAATCCAATTATTTAAATACAGTATGACCAAAGGTGCATACATTTTTCATTAATTTTTATAAGAGGCAATATAAAAACAAGTTTATCAAATTTATTCCATATTTTTTCTGTGTATGGTATATCTTAGAATGTTCAACACACAATGTCACAATCTGGACAAAAGAATCTAGTCCCTGAATTCTTTTTGCATTATTGTTTTTCTTTATACTGTTGTTTTGGCCTTTATTTTAAAAATTTTGGGGGGGGGGCCAGAGAGATGGCTCAATGGAATAAGTGCTTGCCTGGCAAGTGCAAGGGCTTCAGTTCAATCCCTGGTTCCGCCAAAAAAAAAAAATAATAATGATAATAAAATAAAATAAATTTTTTTTTTTCATTTTATGTCTTTGGTAGAGGGTCTTACTATGCAGCTCAGATTCGTAGTGATCCTCCTGTTTTCAGCCTCCCCAGCGCTGGGATGGGATTACAGGTGTGCACCACCTTGCCCAAACTCAGTCTCCCGCTGCTCAGTGTGCCCCGGGGGCAGGACCAGCGCAGCATGCAGGACTGGGGATCGAACCCTGGTCCCTGTACCTCCCAAAGCAGGCGCTTAATCTGCTGAGCTATCTCGCCAGCCCAGCCTTTCTTTTTTTATTATTATAATTTCAATAAAATACCCACTAAACACAGTGGTGAAGACATTGATGATGAACATCTCAATTGGGCTATTGTATTATTTTTGGTCTATTAGGCCTAAATTGTAAACAACCTTTTGGGTTTTTTTGTTTGAATTTTATGTATTTGGTACAAGATCTCACTATGCAGCTCGGACTTGTGATCCTCCTGTTTCAGCTTCAAGTTGTGCACCAACACGCCTGGTCTTGGTGGCCAGCTTAGTGTGCTCAGGGTGGGACAGGCATAGCATGCAGTACTGGGAATTGAACGTGGGTCTTTGTGCTTGCCAGGCAGGTGCTTAGACCTCTGAGGCTCTGTAAATGACCTTTTGAACACCCCCCCCAAAAAAAAAAAAATCAAAGCCTGGCCAGACAGCTCAGCAGATTAAAGCAGCTGTTAGGCAGATGCAGGGACCAGGTTCGATCCCCTGCATGCTATGCCAACCCCACCCCCAGAGCACACTGAGACAGTGATTCAGACTGGGCATAGTGGCACACACCCATAATCCCAGTGCTTTGGAGGCTGAAAACAGGAGGATCACTACAAGTCTGATCTGTGTAG